GTCCTCCTATTGGTGTGGCAGTTTGGAGAGGGATATGGCAGCTCAGGTTTCGACTTCATCCCCTAACCATGGTTCGAAAATACGAGGTGCGTCGCCAATATTCCTTGTGTTGCCTTATAGAATGACCTTAATAAGCACTCACTCACCCATAAGGGGTCTCAGGGTTGTTAAATTTCTTTATGGAGGGGTGAAAATATAAACAAATTCAAACAGGTATAATTATTTTAAATTTAAATTCAATAATTTGAATCTTTTACACATTATGTATAAAGGAATGGGGTTTCAGAAAAGTGTAAAATGTGTTTAAAATTTAATCATAATTTTGGAAACTATAAGCATATGAAAATAAGAAACTTTTCTATAAGAAATATTTATTACGTTTTACATTGCGCATGCTGTTTTCTAAAATAGTAGCTTTAATTGCTAGCTATAAGTTGCTAGCTAAGGTTAAATGTGTATCCTTATTACACTATAGTAATATTATATTAGTAGAATATAAATTATATTTTTTAAAAAATAAAAAAAAATTAAATTTCAAATTTTTTAAAAAATTTTTCAATATTTTTCAAATATTTTGAAATACAAAAGATATATTTTTCTTAAATGATGTAGGGTTTACGGAGTATGATACATTTTACAATTCTATAATTTTTTATACATCAGAGGATAATATTTTACAAAATAGCATGGCGCAACGCAAAAAATTACTTAATATTTATTACAGAATTTTCATATGCTTATAATTTTTTAAATTATGATTACGTTTTAAACATTTTATACTTTTCTGAAACCCCATTCTTTTATAAATAATTTGTAAAATATTCGGAATATTTAATTTAAATTTAAAAGAATTATACCTGTTTGAAAATTGTTTGTACTTTCAGCCCTCTAGAGAAATTTAACACCCCTGAGACCCCATAAAGCAACATGAGGGCAAGTAGCTATGGATGTCGTAATTTTGTGCAAACTCTCAAAGCAACCACACTACTCTCAGCTACGACAGATTAACAACCTCTGAGTTAATGTGGCTCCAGCTTGTGATCATAACCACTAGGTCACCGTGGTCATTCCTGTTTCCATCAAAGAGTTCTATTGTTCTCAAGTCCTCGCTTAACAAAGTATAGAGGCTTAAAAAGCCAAGTTTCACTCTTGAAATTGGGTCTTGATTCTAAATTACTTAATATCCTTTGTACATTAGAATAATGTTTTAATAAGTATTGAACCAGCAATTCTAATGTAATTTAACAAATAGAAATTCAGATAATAATAACATACTTACCTTTTTGTAATAAAAATGGCATAAGGGAAAAAACTAACAAAAACTACATCCTTCTTATTAATTTCTTTATAAGAAGGTATTTTTATTATTATTATTATTAATTTTTCCTTCTTATTTAATCTTAAGTATTAATTTGAACTTATTTATAATATTAACTTTTTACTTTTTCATAGTAATTTTTCCTACGAAATAATGTCTCTAATTAAATTTCCTATAGGAAAATTCAAATTTCGTTATAAAATAAAAAAAAAAAATTCAAATGTATAAGTTTGAAAATTATATGCTATAATAATATATGAAAATGCAGGTACTTATGAAATGAAGCACGTGATTGCTAATTCAGCAAATACTACACATGCGAAATTGGGGTTGCAGAAGTGACTATACTCCGTTTCACCTTAAGTTGGCAGCGCTGGGAAGGGTACGATGACCAAATCACTGCCTACTACGGGGTTACTCTAGGAGAAGAGTGTGACTATAACAAATATAAAATTTTCCATATTTGGCAAGCAAAAAAAAAAATGTTCTTGAAAAATTTGTTCTTTTAAATTGTATGAGGTGTTTTTTTTTTCTTTTTGGTAATAGTATACCTTTTTTTAATCGAGATATTTAAGGGTTTGCATTTCAATATGTTTAAAAATATTGATTAATTAACTAGCAAAGAGCAAATGGCTTTGATTTGGAAAGAATACTTTGGACGAATGTAATCTTGAAAACCGGGTTTTTCAGCCAAATGTTGTTGTTGTCAGCCAAAATTCAAGTTGTTGTTTGCCACTGTATTCGTTCACAGGTATTAAAGATTAAATGCTTTTAAGATGTGATTAACTTAAAATATATCTTTAAACTCACAATTTATAGAATACATGATACTTTTTAACAATTTTCTGTGCATTTGCTTTGATTTAAATTCCAAAACAAGTTGGAACTACTTTTTCAAGCGGCTTGTTACATTCCCTACCTTTCCCAACGCTGCCAACTTGAGGTGGAACAGAGGATAGTTATTGTGAACGTTGGTGGTGAGATTGTTGCGATAATGCGTAGATACCAAAATGCAATTTAAATTACTTTTCACAGGAATTTGTGCTCAATAAATGCTTTTTACAGTCTTCACATATGCAAAATGAAAAAAAGTATATAAGGAGTGGAAATATTAAGTGCAGGGTAGAAAACTAAAGAGAAAAATTGCACAGAAATTTATATATTTCTTTCGAAATTATTGCAACACATATTGCTATCTTATGATCACCAAGGAGGATATCTAAATAAATCTAACGACACTTCACGTTGTTTTTAGGAAGAGTAAAAAGACTATATATATATACTATAAGACTACTATCTCAATGTTACGTAATAAGTGATACCAAGAAAATTTGCATATCATTTCCTAAATGCTTCAAAATATGTATGGACATAGTTAAATATTTAAATCAAAAGTTATAAAATTAAAATTATTCATTAAAAATCATAGATGCATTAAAACTGTACTTGACTTTAATATACCGTGAAATCCGGAGTATATCGCACACTTTTAAGACGAAAACTAAGATCGAAATTTATGGTTGCCTGTTAAACGCCGGATATAAAAATAATAGATTTAAAAATACAAGATATGAGTTTCTAAAAAAACTAGATTTTTCTACATACGAGGTAAGATTCAAAAGTTCCCGGACAGAGCCTATAACGTGGAAGTTTTTTGCAGTAGAGGGACTGGGATAACGTTTTTGTGTTACTGCGTTCTCCTCTTTTTCTAAAAGTGATTCGTCCTAATAACAGTCGTAGGTGGCACGCCACGGAGTCATATTTTATAACCGGATGCATTTCGTAACCGGCGATTGAAAGAAATGACGTTCGTAGAGCAGATAATAAATATAAAATTTTGTAGAGTGCTACGGTGGACTTAAGAAATGTTGGAGCATTTGGTAATAAGTGATACATTATCTCGAACGCAAACTTAAAATCTTTTGAAAACGGAAAAATAAAGGAATAAAAAAAGCAAAATTAATAAGTGAAGCAAAAAGAAATGCTAAAAGCATAATTTTATTGCACTATAGTGATGACTCCCCAACAAAACAAAACACAACAATAAGCTATTTAGGGATGGCAATCTAAGATCGATTAATCGAGAAATCGATTTCTCGGGACAAAAAAAAAATCGATTTTTTAAATCGATATGTAGCACTGAATCGATTCAGTGAATCAATATTTCTCCCTAGAAGAACAACACTCGATTTTCTCTGTTTTGGTAAAAACCATAAAATTATTTACTATTAGTTTAATGCACCGGGATGTCAGGGCTTAAACGAAGAATTTAAATACTATTTATCGCAGGCAGTTGTGCACCTGAAGTATGATCCTATACTTTACTTCAAGGACAGAAGAACTCAATCATCGCGTTCACTCAATAGCCATGATATATATGAGAATTGTGTGATCATTTGTTCCTTGTGAGCGCCTTTTTTCGATTGCCGGCAACATCGCAAGTCATCAGCGGAACCACTTGGATCCATGTAGACCTGACAGACTGTTGTTCTTAAAAGGCTTAGATATTAAGAGCATTGGGAACTATAAGGTATATTATCTATTTTCTAAACTTTTTAATGTAACAAATACATTTAGAAAATAAATGTCTTCTTTTATACCTTATACATTGATATGGTAATAAAAGTAGTTGTATTGTCGAATTCCCTGAACTAAAAAAATCCCTGATTTTACTACGAGATTGTTTATTATGGTACCTTTCTTGTTTTTCATAAAATGAATTTATATTTACATTGTAAATGCAGACTTGAAAAAAAAATCGATTTTTTAGAAATCAATCTTTTAGACCTCGATTTTTTTGTGAATCGATTCATCACGTTACGATTCAAATTGGTTTAAAAATCGATCTTATTCGGAAATAATCGCCATTCCGAAAGCTATTAGGACGCAAAAAAAATTAAGTTCTTGCTCTAAGACCCAATGTGCTGTCGGTACGTATAAGTATTACAAACATATTCAACTGTAATATTAGTTATATACACTGTTCACTTAAAATAAGTAGTCAAATCCTTTTCTATGGTCTTCATTAACATATAAAAGAAATAAAACACTTACCTTCTGACATTAACTACTTTTTCGGAACAAAAAGGACAATCCTCGGAACCCGATTACAATGTCAGCTGAAAACGCAACTTCTGTTTTAAAACTATGTCTCATTAAAATGCTCATAATAGAACCCGTGCTAACATATCTTGAAAGAATGGATTTAAAAGAATATTCTTCCTAAGTATCGTCAGAATATTCGTAAAAATGGTTCTTCTATGTAATGGGTATTCTTAAGTGAGTGGTACTTATAAGTACCGTCGGTAGATAAAGGGTTAAAAGAAATGATATACCTTACAAATTAAAAAAAAAAGCGTGTGTGTACTTATGTACGCACGTAAAAAGTTATACTTCTTTGACGTAACAAGATAAAAATCTTTCTAAAAATCTTGAGCAGAGTTGAACGATACTGATCTTCAGTTAATCGGGTAATCCACCTGAAGTAAACCTGAGGTAATCACAATTAAAAAAACCTGAGGTAATCACGATTTAAATAAATTTAAGCACCCCAGCACAGGGAAAATAAGACCAATAATATGGGGAGTGAATCGAAGGCGGGAATGATCTGTCCCGTTCTGCATATAGACAAAGCATTTTCGTATCCGTTCCTAGGGATCGCAAAGCAAAGGTTCGCTGACGCAGGGGTATAGCTCAATGGTAGAGCATTTAACAGCAGATCGAGAGGTCCCCAGTTCGAATCTGGATGCTTCTTTCTTCAGGGAAGTGAAGAGAAATATTTCTTTGAGAAATTCGAAGGCAGGAAGGATTTGTCCCGTTCTGCATATTTCTAATCAAAGCATTTTCGTATCTGTTCCTACGGAACGCAAAGTAAAGGTTATCTGACGCGGGGGTAGAGCGTTCGACTGCCGATCGAGAGGTCCCCGGTGCGAACCCGGGACTCTTCTTCTTCAGAGAAGTGAAGAGAAATTTTTTTTTTTGGAGGATTTTGAAGGCTGGAATGTGATCTGTCCCATCCTGTATATTTCTAGACAAAGCATTTCCGTAACCGTTCCTACGGAATGTAAAGCAAAGGCTCTCTGGCACGGGGTGTATTGCTCAGTGGTAGAGCATTCGACTGCAGATCGGGAGATCTCTGGTTCAAAACCGTATCCCCCATTTTCAGGGAAGTGAAGAGAGATAATTCTTTTGAGAATTTCGAAGGTGCAATGATCTGTCCCGTTCTGTATATTTCTAAACAAAGGATCTTCGCATCAGTGACGGTATGCGCGCATTGTAAAAATTTTCCCTCATTGTATTTAACGCCCCAAAAGAAGTATATCTTCAAAAAAGAACTGTTCTTCTCTAAAAAAGTATACTATTTTTTCAAAATCCTCGGATAATACCTTGAATAAATTACATTATATACTTATACGTATCAGCGTCAACACAGCCAAAATCGCGTCATGAAAACCGTTTTTCTTCAAATAAAATGCCTAAGAATCTTTCTCGTTTTGATATGATGGCACGATTCGCATGGTTCAAAGTCTGCTGTGGTGACGCTAATACGTAAGTTCTTAAATGTCTTCAAAACATAAGAGTATTGCATATGTACATTTCAGGTTTGGGCATGAAAAAAGAGGATGCCCATTACGCGGCGAATATACCTAAAAATTTAAAAAATGCAGCTTGAAAGTATAGCTACGTATTATCAACCGGATTTTATGTTAATTAATTTTTTTTATCCTCCTCGTTTTTCTTTAAGAGAAAATAAAATTAAGTTTAATATTTATGAAGTACCCGAATTCTACATTTGAGAAAAACAGAGTTAAAAAGACAATTTTTATTTTCTTGCCTGTGGTGCTGCCTGCTGTGCGTTGGCCGTTGTTGTGTTTATAATGATATAATACAAAACAAGAACAGAAAATATAGGTTACTATTTAATTATTTAAACAGTATTTAAGAAAATTCAGTTTTTACACTTTTTGCTTGAGAAAAATGAAATAGTTTAATACTTAGTATTAGATTAAACTTAAATAGATTTTAAGTGCAATGTTAAGTATTTCAAAAATACAAATGCATTGTGAAAGATTCAAAACAATATTTCGTGTTCACTAAGATTATTTTTTAAATATGGGTTTTCTTTCAAACTACACACTTTGTGTAGTATAATTTTTTTACATCTTAAATTTTAAGAACAAAAGGGCAAGTTAAGTCAAATTGAATTTATTCAATAATTAGTTATAATACTTTAATTTCACAATGGGGTATTTTAATTTGCTGGTTTCAATATTCAATCGTTTCACGTTGTAAGTAATTGTAATTATGAGCAAAATTTTATTTTTTATATAATTGGTTTAATCAAATCATTTTATTAATTATAATTAAATTATCCTACTGCCACCAAAAACAATTGTGTGCAGAAAATATCAGCTCAATTAAGTGCTTCAAAATTTCAGAAAAAAAAAGCTTTTAAGGTTTTAACCCAGGCATAGTTACAATGTGAGAAGAAGAAAACCCAATAAAAAAAATGGAACACTTATTTCAATGTCAATATAAAAGTTACGAACTTAATATAACCATAGCTGAATAGAGACTAGTTGTAACTTCCTTAAATATGTTTTCTATTTTAACGGATACTCTTTATCTATTTTAATAATTCGCCATGCAATATATTATACAAGGATTGAAAATAAGAATAGACACTACAAATAGATTCTTAAAGCCAATGTCAATATAAGGTATGTCAATATAAATCTAAAGTATTTGCAAAATATATTTCTTCTGCATGCAAACTTTTACAGAGCTTCGCTATTAATTCTGTGACAATCGATCCATTGTTACTTTCACAAAGAAACTATTCAAATGAAAATGCACTGAATTCAACCACTCATTTTCCTCTGTTATTAATCATCTATTCACGAGCCTTAACATATAAATTAGTCCCTATGTAATGAAAGTGAGGCAGAATCTTGGTAATCCCTACAAAAGGGAATTTTAAGTGCATCTTCCCTCTCCGATGGGGAAATCAAACAGCTAAAAGAGAAATAATTAATTATTTCGTTTGGGACTATGGCAACGATAATTTTTGTACCGATTTAATTTTATCCAATCGATTGCTGTATGTAACGCTATCGTCTGATTTTATTGTTGTTTTAAGTAATAGAATGTTTAGTTTGATAATGAAATAAAGGATTTTGAATAGGAAAATATACAGTAATACCTCGTCTTATATAAACCTAGATTTACGCCATTTTCAATTCTCGTCGAATTTTCATTTGTTTCAGCGCTACACACACAAAACCCAATTATTCACTCCTCGCTTCAAAAGAATTTGAAAGTGTATAGTGATGAAGCTCAAGAACTCCTGGATTCCCATAATTAAGAGCTGAAAATTGATGAACTCATAAAAATGTGTGAGCAAGAGCAAAACATTCAAGAACTTGAGTCTTTGGACCCAGTTCGATAGAATGATAGTTGAGAGTTTGACAGAATGGCCTCAGTTTAGTTGAAAAAGTGTTAAAAATTTTGGAAAATATATACTCCACCGAAGAGCGTATTTTTTCCAACAAAACAAGGAATAAAAAAATTATTAGCATGCTACGAGGGAATTTTAGGGGAGACAGAAAAACTTTGAGTCAGCCGATTACTTTGTTAAATTTTTCGAAACTTTCTATGTCAGAATAGTTTTGGCTTTTGACTCTGTATTTGAGTCATCTAAGATTTTATTGTGCAATTTTTTTCTAAATTATTATTTTCTTACGTCTCCTGTCCCAACTGAAAATAATTTATATGTCTTTATATGCGAACTTATACCCCGACTTACGCGGTTATCACTCAGTCCCACCTATCGCGTAAGTACGGGGTATTACTGTATTACAGTAAGCATACTGCCTTTGTTAAATTTATAGTATTTTAATGCAATTAAATCAGGGGGACTCAACCTTTTTCTTCCCCTGGGCCGCATACATATGTCAGCTATTTCACTCGGGCCGCATACATATTGTTACGAATTTTGTGTAAATAGTGTAAATAATTTGTATTTGAGTGTTTATTGCATTTATATTATTCTATGTGTTATATTTATTTCAAGTTAAAATTGTGCTACTCACAAGCAATGCCGCCCCTTACGTTATAATGGCGATTCAATGAGAACTTGGAGAAATCTTGGTGATAGAGCCAAGTTGGCATCATTTTTGGCGACCAAGTTGGCGGCCAATTTGGCGACTTTGACGACCATTTTGGCGTCATTGGTGACCATGTTGGCGAGTTCGGAGCCCTCTGGAATCTTCTAAAAAGTAGTAGATATCTCCACTAGTGTCACGTTCAATGACACGAGCTGTTTTATTTCTGGAAGTTTCTGTCGCGCCTATAAAAAGAGGCTCGCCGGGACGGCGAAGGGTCTGGATTAAACCAACGAGTGGTGAGGATTGTTTTGACGCGATTAGCTCGGCTGTGCTTGTAAATAATCTTTTACATACATGTATTTTTAAACACTGCTTATTGTGTTTGATTGCTGTTGAAGGTGTGAAGACCTTCGGATATTTACTCTGTGAATATTGCTTCTGAATCCTGTATTTAAAGGATTGGATTTTTATTAATAAATTCGCACCGCTCTTGAAGAACTGTTTATTTTCTTTGTGATTGTTCTGCATAAAATCCACGAACCCTCGGATCTATGTAACAATATGTTAGTTGGTTCACGCGGGCCGCAACATGAGAACAAATGGGGGTAGGGGAAATAAATGCTTTAAAACCAAAATAATATTGGAAATTTAAAATGTGGAAAATTGATCAAATTAATATAACTCCTGTTTTGCCTTTTTTAATTATTATTTTTTATATTTTTTTAATTTTTGTCTCTAACACTAAATTAGAAGCATTTCAGAAACACTCCTTTGCAATTTCTGCATCAGTGAACGTTTTTGTGCGTGTATGATTACCAATAATATAACAATCTTCATAGGTTGTCTTTGTTACCACTGTGACGTTACCACTGACAAAACACTTTGTTGCTGTTGCAAAGATTATTCAAGAAAGCCTATTTATAATCTCTTGAAAGAGATATTCGAGGAGAACTGTCATTAAATGATTCCTGTTTATTGATATATTTTAAATATAGCACTTCCGTGACAAATCAAACAATTACTAATCCATGGTTGTTTTTCACTACACAAAATAGTCAACCTCCCAATCGTCTTGAAACGATATATTTCCTTCGAATGTTTTCCGCTTGCAAGATATGAAAGATAGTTGAAAATTACTAGTTCCACCTATAAAATTATCGCTACTTCACTGTTGTTTGTTATCACTAACCGTAACCGTTCCAAAGAGAAAAAGAAAATTAATTCGAACCCGTAAGACACCGACAGCAAAAAGCAAAGTGATATATTTGATTTCTTGGCAAAGAATTTCCCACCAAATTTTAAATACAATGTTCTGTGTTGTTGTTGCTCATGCCAACTGTCTCACATAGTCAGATCGAGGCCCAATAAATTCATCGTGGCAAATGCGCTAGAGGTACGTCTGTTGTTGACTTTTAGCCTTGAGCACCATACAGGTGAAAGTACGATTTAGCTCGGAGAAATTTCAGAAGGAACGATAGATGGCGCCACCACCTATCTCCACCTCCACAATCTACGAATGAAACTGAATTAGAGGGAAATTTTCTCCAGTTTCCTGCACTCGTGATTCAGCCCACAAGATTTTCGGACCCACTGATTTAACGAGCACGTGCTCCGCGCGTACTCGGAGGGTATTTGGCGATACGGGCAA